ATGTCCACATTATCCTACCGATTTTCCCTTTAAAACCGTCTCGTTCTACGTCCACAGACGGTTAACAGGAAATTCCGTTTGGGTTTCCCCATCCTCGACCACTTCCAAAAAATTGCCATCTGTATGTCAGTCTATAGATTTGATCATCGTCATCATCCAACACACATAATGAAATCAGAAACAATTGTTTGGCAGTGCGGTGTTGGCATCATGTGTGTTCTTATTAATTTCTGGCAAGTAACGGGTGTCGACTACCTGTGTCTCATCATCACGGGAGTAACCCAATAGGAGAAGTCAGAGAGATAAAGAATTTCAAGGTCACTCGGTTGCACGAGTGAGACGTTTAGCACTGACACACCAAGCAACTACCTACTAAAAAATCCGTCAGTTCTGCCCGTGGTGGTGATATCAACCACACACCTCCGACATTTCAATTAATCGATGTTGCAGACGCCGCGTGCACTTTGTTGCGAGATATTACACACTTCATCAGACAGGCGAATACCAAAAATAGGCATGACCAAATGCCCTGCGCTACGAATAGCCCGCCTTCAATAAGGCGACCAATACAGACGCAATTGTAATCCGATGATTGGTGGAGTGTAGACCAATCAGAAGCACCCAGCCTATACTGGCGCAGCTCAGTTATATCCAACCCCTCAAACAACTAGCTTTGCTGCACTAGTGTGTTTGCAGCGCTCGTTTCAAATTGTGTGATGAGACGATTGAGTGAAATGTCGCTTTGGTAGACTGTCAGCCGAGGATTTTTTTTTGTTCGGCGTAAGTCTTGTTTTAATTACGTTTAATTTAAACACATGTGGTGGTGATATTTCAAATAGGAAGTAGGTACTTGTGTATTGTACCTGAATTAGAATAGGGGACTCGGTTTGAGTCCTCTTTACCAATTAAACCTATCTGTTTACTTGTAAGTAGTATTAGACAGGTTATAGTTCCGTTTCTTTGTGAAATACCGAGCTGGCATGAGTATTTTTATTTGATCACATAACAACGGTAACACTCACTTGCTCTCAAACCTAGGACACTACAGCCAAGGGTAAAAGAAGAATTGTTAATCAGCAAATTTCCAACCAGTCAAAGCAGTTTTTTTCATAAATTCTCAAATCGGTGGGCCAATAACAATCGTAGAACTAATCGATTATTGAACATGTGGACGAATGACATTCCACCTCCTCTGATTACTCCTGAACATAATTCCAATTTGGCAAAAGTAATATCCATGCCTGGTCTGTTCCACACTTCGTGAGGAAATAAACGAGTTGTTCTTTAAGAAATAATTCAATTTACGTGACTAGCTGCTACCATTACCCCAACCCTTCAATCTCATTGGCTACATGGTATTTTGACGCAGCGATGTGGCATCGATCGATTGCACACACCAATAATCAATGATGATCTCTTCGAGTCATGACTGGGTGACTTTTTACCTTAAACGTATGTGTATTTTGTTTACACATAGGTCTGTCTGGAAATTTCGAAAAGGTTGTGCGGAGTTAGCTTGAACTAGCTGTTAAACATGTGGCCTTGAAATACTGGAATCTCATTGGCTACTCGGACCGGAGAGCAGGTGCATTAAGAAGGTCACTAATTTTCACAATTCGGAGAAACTTACTCTCGACTGTGTTCATATCTCATTTGAAAAATGTTATCAGCTGGCAGTTTTTCGAATACGTCATGCGTTGACACGACCTTGAAACTGACATGGCAGAATACGTGGAGGCGGCTGAATCGCTTCATCCAATGAAATTTTAGCCCTGTGTCTGAGGTGACCTCGGGGTCATTCAAAAACTGCAAAACAGAACCGCCAAAATTTATTGATTGAAAATAAATAGTCTTTTTCCCTGACAACGCTAGACCACATGACATTTATTCGACTCTGTACAAGCACTTGGTGATGGTGTGGCAACGCAGTTCTACAAGGATGCAATTCAAAAGCTGGTAATACGTTAGGCGGTCGTTCTAGGAAGCGATCGTGCGCAACATTATTTAAAGATCTGACGACTAGTTCCTATTGGCTGGTAATAAGGTACACCCTTCATGCCCCACCAGAAGCACAAAGGACCCATCTTTACGTAAATGGCCCGTTTAGGCGTGGGTATATCCTGGACCGTCACAATAGTCCACAAAATTACTCTTTTTTGTTGTCTACCGGAAGGCAGTGAAAGGCATGTGCTCATACGTTGTTTCCGGTCAACACATGTGGGGGGACCCAATTTCTAAGTTTTTGAATTTTTCCCATTTAGTGGTGCAAACGCCCAGAAATATCTGTTTGTATGACTTCTAACTGTGCTGCTAGCTCTTTCTATGTTTGTGTTGAGTTTTCGTCAAGTTGAGCGTGTAATTTTCGCTTCTTCAAACTACCTAGGCTGCAGTCCAGGTCACAAAGACTGAAATAACCACTTCTGAATCGTTTCTACCAATAATTGCACGTTTCTTAGGCCAGAACGTAGGCATCAAGAACACCTCAAATCCGTTCCCGTTACGTAGGAGCATTTTTTTTTCATATAAAAAGCAGTGCCATCGAATGTGCTGTTTATCGGTTGCCATTGTAAACTCCACTATTCTGAGAGGTTGTGTGAGTCACGTAGACTTGTAGTTCAGTGTTCTGAAACCTTGTCTTCGATCCGTTCAAAACCACACAATACCGCGAAAGTATTTCTGTTTTGTTGCCAACGTAAAGTAACCGATAACTGACAGCTCCCAATTTCAAATAATGATTGGCGTCTATGACGAATAAGTTTAAACCCTCGTAACCATATTTTTTCCCAAACTCAGCGGCTCATCAACAACTGCTTTGCGTAAACTAACGCTCGTTTTTTTCAAAAGTCCCCTCTCCGCTGTTGATTGAGGTCAAGCTGGGTTGTCATAGCGTAAACAGGCGCCAACACGACGCATGCAACGGCCGACGTTGACCTCGTGTGTGTGGCCCTGAATTGTGTCGTTTTCCTCTGTTCTGCCAAAGTACTTCCATTGCACACTTAGATCTGGCGATCAATGTGGATCTTTCGCGTTCCGACTGTGTTTGTTGAAGGAACTAGCACTGGTAGAGAACTCACCTTCCATCTAATGAAGAAATTCACAGACCCCCAAGACGAAAGTCATGCGTAATTGTTTCCATGTCCACGAAAGACTAATTTGAGTACACAAAGTGGCTGTAATTATGTGCGAATGACCAGAAATGGAGAGTAGGTCTTTCGTTGACCGTATTCCTCTCTGTTAAGCCAGTGCGCTTGAGAATCAACGCACTGTAATGGCCTCGATTTCTCCTTCTAGGTCCAGATAGAGTGGCAATTGTGGAAATGGTTACGCTATTTCCTTCTCCAACAACAGAATGTCTGAAAGTTTAAGTGCTTTTGGCAATAAATACAGTCGACACCGTCATTAATGCATCTAGCCACACTTATTACCCAACGTACTGCTTTAATTTGCGTGTTCTTAAGTGGGTTTTACGCAAGCACATTGAATTAGGCGTGTGCATAATGGACAAGATGTCTACGAAAGGATTTTCGCCGCCTTTCAGAGAGGATTAATTCTCATAATGACAGATAACAGCTATCAACTCGCTTCACTGCTTCATCCGAAGAAGCTGACGCTGATTAAGCCTGCTTGATTTTAAAAAAATACCACATTTTATCAGCCACTTTGATTGGCCAGTAATTTCGCAATTCTAAGCCCGCATATTATCGCGGTAGGCCAGATTACATCAGTCTGCGAAATATCCCCATATTTCACTTTGCCGACGACAAATCTAAGCAAACACTCTCGATTGAATTTAGACCTGGGATGCTAGGTGTCTGAGTGTCGACGTCGATGATAAATTTAAACAAAACTAATGGTTTGTTGGTTGCATATGTTTTCCCTTGATTTTTACACACAATTCCACTATCGGCTAAAATTCACGTTCAAATCAATTTCACAAATCTCTCTCGTTTCTGTTGACAAACATATCATCCGCTCAAAGTTACTTATATCCCAGCCTTTTCCGTTCTCCTCCCATAAACGGGTTTTTACATGCATTTGTCAGTTTTGGACCACGCGGTAGATGAAACATTTTATTAAAACAACCAACTGATTTCAATTGGCTACGAAATTCGCGGTTTCCATGGTATTGCCATGATGCCATGTTAGTATTCCAAACGATACATCGGGAAATCCATCCTGTGAACGAGGCAAGGCGATAGTTCCGACCATTCTTCGAAAAAAAATCGACAGTTTATACTAACTGCCTCTTTAAATTGCCCTTTAAAGATCATGCAGAAACCGAATCAAGCAGACTACACCTCAGCCAACGGTGTGGCTCCATCCCCAGACGCGAGTCTTAAGCCTCGACACCAGAATTCCACCGACACCACAAACCCTCGTTCTCCACGTGCACCTCCACTAATCTCCAAGTTCCGTGGCGAACCTCCACCGTCCAAGTCGGCTTCGAGAACCCCGAACGCGAGGCGCACCAAGGCGCAGTACTCCGGCATCTTCGCTTCCACCGGCCAGGCTGCCGCAGACCGCGCATCCTTCTACGTAATCCATCCGGAGTGGTCCAGCGAGGTGGAGAGCGTCTCTAGGGTGCCCCCACCGCCGCATTCGGCGCACCACGGCGGTCACCAGGTCACCCAGTCGGCAACGCATCAGGCCAGAGTGGCGGGCAGCGGGCGATCGATGGAGTGCGGGATTTTGCCACAGGACAGGGGACCCGAAAGTGTCCTCTCCGTGGCACGCAAGGCCGCCTCTCACAACCCGGTGTGGCCTCATCGCTGCAGAAGCGCCCCGGCACAGCGGACTCGCAATCCCATCGCGTGGACGTGAACGCTGAATCGGCTTAAGCCTGACGAACATTTGCTTCCGAGTTGAACGCTTTCTTCCATATCAAAGTCCATCAAAAGAAAACAGAAGACAATGGTGCTTATTAACTCTCCGAAATATCTGTACTGGGTGTGCTAAAAAGAAGCCTCGATTAACTTAGTTAGAGAAGCGTGGGAAAACCACGTATTAAAGAGACACAAAATTCAGCAAGCAAACCCAAGTTATATCAATTAAAAATGCACACATGACAAGAAGCGAGATTAAGGAAGCACCGCTCTTGATTGGTTAGAGACGAATCTTGTTCACTTTGAAGGCAAGTTCAGAAATCGCGCTTAACTAGCAAATCAATTAAAACAGAGGGAACAAATCAGAGTCACATGCCTAGTAGATCGTCGTAACTTGAACCTAATTTGCATACTCGAAATTAAACTTGCCTAATTACTTCCACCAAAAAGCACGTGTATTCGTTCTGATTAATACAAAAAAACACAGTTTCACACCACACTAACACGAAGACAGAACTATGTCTTGCTTTATACCTAGTCCTCAACACAGTTTACCCTTCCACATGTTGTCACGAGATTTGGATCTGAAGAAGCAGTCTAGAATGACGAACCGACATCACCACTGACCGCTGATGCTCGCGAACATCAAGATCCGTGGAAAAAATGCAAAGTTATGGAGGTACAAAAGAAGGTACCGCCAGTCAGTTCGATCAGAAAGAGAGCCAACGGGTTTCCTCCACAAGTGCGATTTGAATGCAGGACGGATTGACATTCCTTTGAGGTGCCGAGAAATTGTGCGGCCACTTTATCCCTGGACTAACAGAATGCCACTAGAAAAAGCGTCAATGCTTCCTGGTACACGCCTAAACACTGTGGCTGACTGGCTCAACTACCCATGCAGTTGAACTAACAGATCCAGGACGCGTGTTTGTTTGTGCTGCGTCACATCCAATGTCATGTTTCAGACTTAAGCAGTGCACAAATTCCTTTGGAGCGACAGCGACTTCACCAGGCGCCAGCGTGCACCAAGATGTCGGTTCGTGCAGTAATGAATAAAAAATGCATCAACACGACGCTTTGATGACACGACTTCCACACCACAGCTATTTCATCCTTCCCACGTGCCTTCTTAACCACCACCTACCGATGCTTTATTGGTCCAATGCAAATGACTTTGTCGTCGAGCTGCCGCATTTTGCCTGCACTTTCCCGAAGCACAAGGGCTCAACACATTATCAATTATGGTTGTCAGGACAACAAAGTCATCAATGAGGCAGCATCTGAAAACGTCTGGTGGTTTCGATGGCTACCGGCTCGATTACTGTTGTTGCTGACTTCGAGCGACTGCTAGGTTAACAATGAAACACACCAACCTCGTGTAATGACCAGGTCCTTTCGATTAGACTACTTGACATCCCCGTCTCTTCTAATCTTGAATCTGTCACGAATTCTCTCCATCGACCGAGTACTCCCTCAGCCACTGACTATCACACGGTCAATCAGTCTACTCTAGTCTAGTCTGGTCTAACTTTACTCTCTGCAAATGGCTCGAAGTGTTGACTGCGAATTCTCGCACTCGCAACGTTTCCTTATTCCTCCAAGACCAACTCTTGAAGACTGCGTCTTACGCTGAGACTCCACAGTACTGTCCTGGAGTGATTTCTACCTGCGTACTTTCTCCTTAACTCACTAAACCTGTCCAGAAGTTGTCACGAGAGGTACCAACTGAAGAGACGGCCCAGAAAGAATAAGAAGTGGCGTCACGATGTCCCCTTCAAGATGGTCTCTTCGTTCAGGGAAAGTGCTGTCTCGAGTGCTGTTGGTCAATGATGGCCATGAACATCACGGACTGCGGACAGAATGCGCCAGTATCGATGTGTCGAAGATAGACCCACCTGCCTTTTCCACCAGTAAAACAGCGGAACGAACTCTTACACTGTTGTGAAATGACTGGACGGCTCCACGACATTCATCTGAAGCTCTGAGAAGCCGTACAGCTAGTACATCTCATGACAAGCAGAATGCCACCGGTAGGAGTACCAAATCTTGTTGGTAGATGGATTGGTACTGTGGTTGGCTGGTTCATTAAATACATCCTGGAAGTCTACTCTGAAATTGTGCCTATTCTAGGGAAAGAAGTCTCCATGGAACACCACAAGACTCAATACAAATTGACGAGGTCCGATTTGCGGGGTTCCGTAAGTACAATCGTGGTGGACGCACCAAGGAATACGATGGTGATCCCTTAGAAAAATTTTGGAAATACCACGAACGCAGTGATTATCCATTGGGCATTGAAATGAGTTTCATGGACACGATGTTTGGTACTACTGCATATAATAATCGCGATGCAGCTGTTCGCGTAGTAGGATCTGGTTTAACAATACCTTCACACGATTGACTGGCTTTTCAGCTAATTGGTGAGGCTGGGTACGATCATAACACTGCCGTCATTCACCGTGTAAAATACCTTGACTCGAAAATAGCAAATCGAGAAGACCTTCTTAGACGGCAAGATTGAGATTTTGAGGAAGACTTCCATTGCACTTCAGAGGTGAGCACCACACGAGGTTTAAGAAGTGCTTGTTATTATTTATACTGTATTTAACGTTCACAGTAACTACTACAAACAAAAACAAAGCTGCAGTAACTCAGCGAGAACCATACCCAACAGATTAGTCATTGGTTTAAGTCAAATTACCGCACAAAAAGCCTCGCTTATTGCTTATTCCAAAACAAATTCTTGTTAATGCTCTCAGCACCTGGAATATTTCATTGTTTTCTACCCAATAGCCTTGTCAGTTTGCAGTTTACGTCGCTCACTACCATAAAATGTCGAACACGTGACTCCAGAACTCCAGGGTTATGAAAAAACTACAAGTGCTGCCTGATTCGGAAAATAGATGCACTCATCTAACTCTTATGCTACAACTAGTCACGCCATGCGACGACAAACAGTTGCGCTTTCAGGTAATGGGGCTCAAAAGAGAATTTAATATGCTAACCACCAGAAGCGTATTTCTGTCTTGGCCCCTAATGCTACAGACCCGGTTTCCAAGTTCCAGATGAAGGCGTTAGAATCCAATCAACGGAAATGCTTTATGGTTAAGGGACAAGAGTAAATCTAGGACCCTGAAAGCCTCAAAATTGGCAGATCTAGTAGTGAATTCGTGGGTGGGTTCCACATGCAATCAATGACCACCGCGTATGCAAAGTACTGGAATAAAACACAGACCTCTGTCACCACTTTTTTTCAGAATATCATCACCCCCCTGGGCTTGAAACTTAAAACCACGAAAGAAACTGCCACGAAGCACAAATATCAGTTCCGCCACAGGGTCACATTAGGCTATTTCCGAAAGGTTAAAGCCGCTAACTTAGCATAAGCGAAACCGACATACAACGACACCACACTTGAGCCTACGTGGCCATCATATAGTGCTAACAGGAATAGAGTTGTACTAAGGAGCCCGCCTTGAACCACCATGTGGAAGAAAACGTTTACTAATGTACGAGAAAGGCTTTATTAAAAATGATTAACAGAAATTAAACTACACGACCGCGGCCACACGAGAAAAAGCTTAGGTTTGAATAGAAAAAAACATCGATGCAGCCAGCCAGACAAAACCGATTGGCCTTTAATCGCTGCGAGGTTGACGAATAAAGTGTTGAACGGGCTTCGTCGGCTTACTCACTTGAGGGAACGGCTTCTGTTGAGTATGCATAACCGTGGTATCGTGAAATTCCAGCTCCTGTTGTGTAGCAAAGTCATGTTTTGGTGGAGCAACGAGTCTACAAGCACATGCGCGTATTGAGTAATACAATTACTCTGAATTGTATTCCTCGGCCTGCTTGAGATACTCTGACCTAGACAACGGCTTTTCTGCCACCTCCCGACGTTTCTGAGCAATTCTCATATTACCCACTTTTGCTTTTGGAAAGCAAGTTAGATAAAATAAAAATTACTCGCGGGTGGATTTGAAATAGCCAAATCCATTTTCTGCTCTTCGTCACCCATGTGAAATAAGGCGAATATCAAAAATGCCACCGCGTAAACGTGTAATTGTTTGGTCCATGTCAACAAATGGGCTTCTCCGGGTTCTGTTAAAAAGTCATAATCCATTTTGATTTAAAGACTTTGAACAATGTTGTACGAACTTTGCATTTTTTAAACTATAAATTGTAGCGGAATTGCTCATGTTTTACAAATCTTAATATGAGAAATTTTCTAAATGTAATAGATTTGGCTTTAGAAGCAGCCGATATCTTTTATTCTTTTTGAGGTTAGGTATGCAATATCTTAAAAAAATATGAAGGAATATCACAGTGGTCCACAATTTTTGGCAGGTAAATTTAAATTATTGTTGTTATATGAGTCTACATATGAAAACCAAGAGTTGAGTAAGAAAGTTGTTAGCTAAATTCAACAGGATAAAGTTAAAATTTATTAAAAAGGCCTGAACTAAATCCTAAAGTTTTGCATTTTAAAATTGGAAAGATATTAGTTTTCTTGTGAAATGGATCCTTTATTTTAATTAAAGTGCCCTCTCATGTTATATTGTCAACATAACATTTACTTAAATAATGTGTAATAATAAATGGTAACATAAGAAGTATAATAGTTTGTAAAAGTTTGCAATGAGCGTCTATAATAATCCCTAGCAGTCCAAAATATAACAGCAATCGAATCTTATTTACAAACGAATTCCTAAGTACTGGCGTTAGCACTTTACTATGGCGTGTTAATAGTAATAATAATAATAACCAGAGGTAAATGTGTCTGAACGGTTCTGTCAAAGTTATCTGGAAACCTCTTTGATGAACTCAGCCATGTATTAACGACCCTAAATTGTAAGTGTTTGATGCGATTCATTTTAAAAATGCACTATTGTTTGAACATGAAAACTTTAAACTTTTAACTTGTGGTAGGCGAAAACTGTATCCAGTGACATTTTAAATTATTTAAACATCGTATAACATATCTTCGATTTTTAAATT